AAACCATGCCAAGATTAGGGTTTACTAATCCATCTTAAATGTATCCAATCAATCGAATATGTGAACTTAGTTTTAACCAATATAATTGCGTATCCTCGCAAAAACGTTCATCTCTAAAGTGATTTAGTGAATGTTATTATTTTGACCGTTAAATGATCTTTCCAAATAACACTCGAAACAATAATCATTAAGATCAATACAATGCGAATATCAACTTCCAAATCTATGTCTAGAGTTTTTATAGTTGATAGATGAAGAAATTAGGTCAAGACTTGAAAAGTTCATGTCTAAAGCAACCCAAACCATAGATATAACAAAATATAGCAAATAACTTCATCTATATTGATCAAAGCCTTGTTCACATACAAAAGATTAAGAAGAATGCATAAAATCAAAACTAGCTACCTCTAACCTTGACAAAAGAGGGGTTTTAGCCACCCATTTCTATGATAGCTTAAGCAACAAGTTTCGAAAGAAGGTTGATCAACATCCGAGTCGAATAATCGAGATTGGATGGGAATCCACCATCTTTTTGTGAAAGATGGCTAAGAGATGGTGAAAATGGAGAAACTAGGGTTTTTGTGCTAAAAAATATAAACTATGAAAACTACAAAAGAAAAGATATTTTGGCAAAAAGTGGCACAACTACTTATAGACATGCTGCTGAGCTGTCAAATCTGCAGTGTGAATATCTTGTTCGCCTAACGAGCAACCAAAAGTGGCACTTGAAGTGTCAGTGTACAGTTAAAACGCCCTTGAGATATTTCCAAATATTCGTTGTGCGAGCAATCCTTTGCACTACGAAGGCTTCGCTACAAACTTCGCACAGTGAGCTCTTGTCCAAATACTTAGTGCCTCAGGTCTGGGGGTGTTCGCTAGGTCTTCGCTTATTCTTCACTCCAGCGAACCCTTCGCTACTTCCTTCACACAGCGAATTTAGATTCCTTTTCTCTCTGTATGAATAGTGTCAAGTTTCCAATGGTCTTTGCTAGCAAGTTCGCTGTGCGAACTTGATGATGTGTTTTCGGGGCAACTTCGCTAGGAAGTTCGATGTGTGAACTTCTTAATGTTTTGCTGCTGACTTGGTTTTCTTGTCAGATGTCTTGTGTCTTATTCTTCTTATTTTGTGCCTAATTCCTGCACAATAGCACACACATCAAAGCAACCAAGACATTTTCACATAATGAAGCATATAATCAAAAACAAGAGTGATTCAATTCAATTCATCTACAAAAAGAATGAAAGATGTCAATATTTGATAGATCAAATAAGCAAAGTTTGGCATCTAACAACAAACGTACTACAAAACTGGTGATCAAATTATAGATGTTTTAACTAATTTATTACATATTGAGAAATTTAAATAAATGAAGATGTTCAATACACTTAGTTTAGTGACTTTGAATTAAGAGAGAGCGTTAAAATGTAATTCAAAATTTAGTTAAAATTTGTTGAGATAGTTAAATTACTTTTAATGCATTTAACTAACTAATTGAGTTCGTTATAAAGTGTTTAAACCTTGTTAGTATTTGTAAGCTTAACTTATATAATGAATAGTAAATATTATATGGAATTACTCTTCCCACCCTAAGGGTTGCTCATACACCCTAGTGAAAAATCAAAACTACTCCTAGAATACAGAGATATACTTCCATATGCACCCCATTCATATACAATTTATTTGTTATTGAGTTATGCCCTAATTTTATGTAAAAAATTAATACAGAAATACATATTCATATCACTTACGTAAATGCACATCCGAACGAGTTCTTAATAAAAAACGCACCTGACTCTTATTCTTTCTCACTTCTCTTTTACTCTCTCAAACCCACTCAAACTCTTAAACTCTCTCAATCTTTCAAACTCTCTCAACTCACTTTGAAGTTTCTACTCTCAACATCCAATCAATCAAAGAGCTCATTATCAAACTCATATTTGGTAATTTTTTATTTCTCTATACATTTTTTATTACTCTATACATTTTTAGAAATTGAGCATTAGGTTGTTTAGATAGGTTACTCAACTAAGCAATGTGTTTGATAGGTAGTTTAGATGAGAAATGTGATTTAAGAATGTTAGATTTCCATGCATTTCTGCCATATTTCCTTTTTTGAGTTGCAGGTTAATACGAAAAATGCACTTTCGTGTTCATTTTAAATATGATTTTCTAGAAATGCAAAAATGCATTTCTGTATTTTGATTGTTTGCATTGTTTGCCTTGATTTTCATTGTGTTTCATCTGGGTTTGATTTTTTCTACTATGTAATGTGTGTGTGGTTTAATTATAGGCATTATGATTGATAACAAATATGGATTAAGCCTCAACATAGTGTCATTTCATTCATCGGTTCAAAGAGAAAGAACTCAAATCTTGCAGCCATTGGTCGATTATAGTTTATTTGATGATGAGGCATCAAATTCTAGAGTTTATGCACCTCTAGCTTTGTCTTCCCATAGGAGACAGAAATTACCTCTCGATTAATCGTTAGCCCCACAAGTCCAGTTTGAGGAACCTCGGGTTGATATCGTTCCTGAGGGGTTTGGAGAAAGCATGTATGACTTATCATTACTGCTCTATATCCAGACCATGTTGCCATGCATGCATGGATGAAAACGTAAAATTCATCTATATTTATTCTTTAAAACACATGTGTTGTAATATTCTAAGTTTATCATAATGATTTATCTTTCTATAAGGCCGTGATGCTTTAAAACGCATCAACCATGACCGAAAGATTATGGGATTGCATCAACCTTAAGATCAATGGTTTAACAATATGGTGCATCTATTTATGTTGCAAGACTTATGCAAGACCTTTTATTTTACTATTAAACATGGTATGCTTTCAGCGTTGTTGAAAGATGGCACTCTAAGACACCATTTTTTCATCTTTCACATGGTGAGATGTCCGTCACACTAAACGATGTCTCATGCATGTCGTATATTCCGATCAGTGGAATACTATTAGACCATGGTAGGATTATCAAAGATGAGACATTAGAAATGATGGTGACATATTTGGGAGCTGGCCCAGAGGATGTCCTGAAGGAGATAGAAGATACATACGGTATGGGCACGTCCAAAACTTCTCGCGCATATCTGGTTGGTCATATGTTGATACATATACTAAGGATATGCCCCGTGCTCGTGCATTCATCCCACCTAAATGGAATCAGGCGGTCGAACCCTTTAGAGCGTATCTTAACTGCACAATAGAAAATGATATACACTTTTAGCCGTACCAAAATCATCGTTAGACAAGTACCTTAAATGACATAGCCATATAATCTGCAGGGTTAGCTTGTGCGTCACGTCTGATGTATCCACATACATAGGCATGAGGGCGTCATGCGCTAGTTCGGGTATATGCAGTTTGTTCCACGAGATCCTTTGATTTTATGCCTCCTACTATAATCCACAGAGATGTAGATGCCATGTATCATGATTTCCTGAATCATTTGGTATGGGATGAAACATGAGGTATTATAGCTCTTAGTGATGGAAATGTGCATACGATTATGTCCATTGGTATTTTAGAGTGTCACATCCTTATATGACACTGGATACTCCATGAAATCCACTTAGGCCAACTCACTAGGAGATATTATAGGAGGAGCAGACTAGGGAAAATCATGACGTTGATGTGTTGTCTAGATGTCGTCGTATTATGGATCTTCCACGAGCATGTATAGACATATGAGTCTTTCCAGAAGGCTCTCCTGAAAGGGAAATTGTAGATGTTATTATTATTAAGGCACATACTAGATTGCAATGCAGGAGGCAACAAAAGAATAAGGGTCTGAGATACGCAATAGTGTAATATTTGTATTAGGGATATTATTATTATTTCTAATTTATTTTGAGTCTATTCAGGATTCATTCATTTATATATGACATTTTCATCTTATTTGATAAATGTATGCTTTAATTTTTAAAAAAAAATTATTATTATGATTGTAAATTTATAATACATGGTCTATTACATCGGTGTATTGTTTTATATATATATATATATATATATATATATATATATATATATATATATATATATATATATATATATATATATATATATATATATATATATATATATATATATATATATATATATATATATATATATATATATATATATATATATATATATATATATATATATATATATATATATATATATATATATATATATATATATATATATATATATATATATATATATATAAAAGATTGTTGTCTAGGGTGAATGTGGAAGTGTATATTCATAATTTGTTACAAAAATGCATCTCACTATCAATTAGTGTCAAAATGAAAGTGTCTCGGTTAGAAATGCATGGAATGCATATAAAGTGAATACATAAGTGCATCTTGACACTACTATTTTAAGTGAAAGGAAAGGTTCGACGTATTTACGCTGGATTTTGTGTGAAATGGATTCGTCAGAAAATACACTTTCAAATTCATAAAATATCAACTGAGGAACAATTTTGATTAATTTTTAATTTTTAATTTGAAAGATCAATTTGGAATATCCATACAATCCTATATTTTTAATGACCAATTTGAGTATATTTACCCTACTTCATGAAAAACCTAAAACTCTTGTATTCACTATTGTTGCCAGCAAACCTGCTACTTCTTATCTCACAAACAATTTGATGATCTTGTTAAAAGTAATCACCATGGAAAATTCTTAGATTATATTCATTACCATGTGCAAGAAATGCTAATTAAGCATCAATTTTGATTATAGCAACACTTTCCATTTTCTCCATATCTTGGTGTTAACCATACGTAACATGCATGACATGTTTTATTATTTTCTCTTTAAAAAGAAGAAAAGAAAATATTCCTTTATATCTTTACAGCCTTAAAAAATTCCAAAGGAATTTATTCTACATGTTTTATCATCACAATAGCTTCTCTTTCACTATAAGAGAAAGACCTAAAATAAAAATCTCTATACCAAAAGCTTCACAAGTTTTTCTCAAAGGAAATAATGGCTAGTTCTAACAAGAAACTTGAAGTGAGTTTTGATGATCAAATTCCAAATAAATGGTGTGTTTCATTAGGAGAAGAAACTTTCAAAAGATTCTTTAGTAGCTTGAGTAGTAATCAAATAGTTTACAAGGTTTTTGGTGATGGATCACTTTTTAGTCCAATGTTGTTTGGAAAATTCTTTGATCCCTGTGATGCATTTCCTCTATGGGAGTTTGAATCAGATGTTTTGTTGTCTCATCTAAGAAGCTTCAATCAAACCACTGTTGATTGGCATCATGCAGATGAAGGTTATCTATTAAAAGCTGAAATACCAGGTAAGAAATATTCGAACTCGTTTATTTTTAGTGTTTTATGTTTTTGTCTTTTCGATTTTACTTTGAAAATCGAATCCGAAATAATCATTTGTGTGCTCATAAACGGCACATCACATAGATGAAAGTTGTATAGAAAACGTTTTCATAACGTAAACGAAACTTAAATTTTCATTTAATTTAATTAAGGGTTACAATTTCTCCATTTCACGTACTCTTTTTAAATGAATTTGTGCCGAAAAAATATGAAATTATGAAATTGAAAAAGCATTTTTAAGAGATGAAAAATATGTTTAAGTAAATAGGATCTCAAAATTGTAGGAACTATTATACTTGCAGGCACACCATTATTTTGAATCAAGGGATGCCTTCAATTTTTCTTTACTAGATGTTATTATATAACTACCGGTAACATATTATATAGTAAATCTGTCAATTAAATTAATAATCAATTATTTGGATGTTAGATAAGGACTTGTTTGAATTAGTTTTGCTTTTTACTTTTGAAAATATGTTTTATAAAACTGTTTTAAAAAAGTGTTTTAAAGAAGGGAATAAATAAAAATTTTGTTTGGTAATATAATTTTTCAAAACTGTTTTGAAAATGAAAAATAAAAAAAAAATTATTTGGTAAAAAAAATTTTAAAAGCAGTTTTAGAGGTAAAAAAATACATTTAATTATTTGACTTTTAAAATTATTTTATTAACTAATATAAATGAAAAATATTTTTATTATATTTAATAACCAAATTTTGAATTATGTAAAATTAAATATATAAATACACAATTTAATTACTAAATAAAATTGAGACAAAACTATTTATAATTGATAAACAAATATAAAGTAAAAAAATTTATCATAATTAATTATTAGATTACATGTAGACTGTAGTTAAATATAAAATTTAATCACTGAATAAAACAAAAAATATAACTTTTAATAATTAAACATATGATTTAGTTTAACTATATATGATTTAGTTTCACACATTTTTTTAATGCGCATGAATAAAAATATAAACAATATTTTCTGTTTAAATAATTTTTAAAAAAAAATACAATACGTGAAAGTTAATAATAAGAAGTTACATTGAAGTTAATAATAAAAAGTTATTAAGTAAATTACATAATAAAGTAAGGCTAAAAATGATAGAAAAATAAACTACACTAAAACAAAGTATTCCCTTTATATATTGTATAGATTACATGTAGACTGTAGTGAAAATTTCTAAGACACGGGTGATTTGTCAAAACAGGAACTGGAAAAAACAACATTCAAGTCCATGTTGATAAAGGAAAGGTGGTGGAAATCAGTGGACAATGGAAGCAGCAAAGAGAGTCAAAGACAAACGATTGGAAGAGTGACCATTGGTGGGAAAATGGATATGTGAGAAGGCTTGAAATCCCAGAAGATGCAGATTGGAAGAACGTAGCAGCATTCATTTATAATGACATATTTTTAGAAATTCAAATACCAAAAATCCAAAAGGGCTATGACACTCATGGAAAAGATTTGGCTTGAGATTCAATTATGCAGAAGAAAAAAAACATTGTAAATTTGAAGTGAGTTTGTAACCATAACAAAATGAAATGTAAACAAAATCTATCTCTATAAATTCACTAGAAAAAGTTACATTTAATTGATAAGAATGTAACTTATGGTAAGTTTTGAGAATATAAATATAGGTTGGTCCCATTTTATTAATGGGAAAAAAAAACTTTAATGTTGCAATGGGTGTGACGTGAACAACTGTTTAGAGATAGTGAAAATAAGATAAAATAAATGAAGTGGATGGTTATGAGTATTTAAGTTGTATAACATATTAGGCAAGAATAGTGAATTTTGTGTACATTTTTCAGATGACATTCATGTTTGGGTTACTAAGTGGTTGTAAATATTTATTGTTTGGTAAATGTGAGGCTTGTGGCATTTAAAGGAAATATTATTACACATTTATTTTTCTCTGGTGGGTGAATTAATTAGCACCACATACACATGAATTAAGTTGGCATTTCAAGTATACTAGTACTACATAACAACCACTTTAACGGAATACATTAATAAAAATAAAATTAAAAAAAAAAAGTTATTAAATCAAAATCCAAGATATCATATTTTTTGGTTGAATATGGCCAAGAATGATATAGAAATGTGTGTGTTTTGAATAGACCCTTTCTTTTTTAAAATTATTTTCAAAAGTTGAATTTGAGATCGGAAGCAAAATTTGAAAAGTGTTAATAGAGATTATGTGATCGGATAAATGTATAATAATAAATTTTAAATAATTGCAAATCAATGTTGAATTGAACTAATAACAATATACAACTTAATCTTCAGAAAAATTTGAATATAATTGGTTAACTAATTTAACATTTTAGAATTGTAATTTTTTAAAATAATCGGCAGAAAGACAATTTATGAGACTAGATCTAAATAGATATACAGTTAAACAACAAATCTATATGAATAAGAAATAAAACTAATGTCATGCAAACTAAGAAAATGATAAAAACTATCATCTAAGATCTAAACAAAATAATGATAATAAAAATATAAAAAAAGAGATAGGGCTGCTAAAATGAATCGTGGTCCACCAGGCTAGTCCGTGCATCCGTTAAAAAATGGCAGGTTGAGTTGGGATTTTGTGTCCGCCTACTTGCTCAATCTGCCCCGCCTTAAGTCCACCAAAAAAAAAGACAGGTTGGCCCGTCAGCCTACCAACCTAGTTATCAAGCACTCAAATTATTTTTTTTTGTTGAAAGTTAATACTTGAACTATAGTTTTGAAATACTTGTTGATGATTCTATTTTATACATTTATTTGTGAATATATGCAATATTTTTTAAAGTAAAATTTGTTTAAAATATGCTATATAAAAAATTGTTCTAAAAAATAAGTGAAAAATCTAATTGAAATGAAAAAATAAGCCTATTAATCTATTTAAAAAAATGGATGGGCAAATCCGCCACCTTGGCGGGCTTAAGACGGGGCGGGGTGGGGCTGGCGATCCATTTTGTCACCCTTAAAGAGAAATAATACTTCGATTTTTTGGCGGGCTTATTATGTTTTTATTTTATTTTCCTCTTTTACATTTATGATAATCTAGCCATTAATTCCAAGATTTTTTTATTGTTGTTAAAATTAGACTGACGTTATCGTACGGTATCACTTTTCTTTGTTTTGATATTTTTGTCAATTTGTGTGTATGTTCACTTTTGATTATTTGTGTGTTTTATAATTTGCTCATTATTTAAATATTTGTGTGTTTGTAATTCATTCACATTTGAGTTGTATTATGTTTGCTTCGGCTATTTAGTATTTTATCATTAAGAATCATCATCATTCAATAAATTAAAGAGTTGATTAATGAATTTTCCCTTGTTTTTGAGCATAGAAGTTGGTTTTTGTCGTTTCATCAAGTGTTGCTTGAATCACATGTTAGAACACTTAAATCAATGTGTTCAGTTGTTTGACTCGAATCATGTGTAATGTATGGCTCAAATCACACAAGTTGTGAAAAATTGACTATGCTTCTATAAGATTTAACTCGATTCACAAGTTTAACTTGACTCATATCACAAGACAATGTGACTTGAATCATGGTTTATGCTTGATTCGAATCATAATTTCAAAAATTCAATTTTCCACCTTAGATTTAAATAGTTATTTCTTTTTATTCAAAAACAAGTGTAACAAAACATGATTCGTGAAGAAAAAATTTCATTAATGATTCTTGTTCATGCTGAAAGTCTTTGTGAAACCTTAAGACAAAAATATCAATTTGTATTTTCTTTTCTAGTGTGTATACTCCTTGCACCTTGATTCTTTCTCTTGTTTGTAGAACTAATCTATGATAAATTACATCTCTTATTTTTGTTACACTGTGTGTGTAATTTATTATTGAGAGAAGCTAGAGAAAAAGAGTTGATTAATCTTGTAATGATTCAAGCTTGATCAATCTCAGGATAACCATTAAAATCCAAGACCCATTTTATCTAGAAACTTGATAGAACCTTTTGTGTGTACTTCATTCACATACATATATTCTCTTGTGACCTAGAGTGTGTGTGTAAGATTCTTCGACACTATTCATCATCTTCAACCTTAATCCTTATCCATAGTTGTGGACCTTCATCTATAAAGATTAAGTACTTCAGTGAGACTAAAGGTGCATTAGGGTATAGGTATGTTTTTTGTGAAGTTTGATGTTTGTAATAGGTGCAGAGATTATTTTCTGAATGCAGTTTATATTGTATTTTACCCATCATGAAGAAAGTTTCATTATACTCCATGGAATATATTGATGAGGTTGAGTACAAACTATTCCTAAGACGGAGTTGGAAGTTGTCCATCTTTGATGAAGTTTTATGGAGACTGTTCGTAGACAATGTTAGGAGTTGTCTAATTAATGTTTGGCTATGGAAATTGGTCAGACAAGAAATTGGTGGGATCAGAGGTGATAGCCACATACGAATACTTTAAGTAGAATTATCGTGGATAATAAGGTTATTGGATCAAGATCATTAATGATTTTGATTTTGTTAGCAATTTAAGTATTTGCATCAACAGAGGAAATTATTGTGTGATATTTTATTATAATCAAAATGCTTGTACCAAACTTATCAAATCATGGAAGGTCGTGATCATTTCTCAGTGGATTTTTTAACACCATTGAAGAGTGGAGTAGGCAAACTAAGGATGAACCTCAAACCACTATATATCTATGTATACCCATTCTCTCTTTCCCTATCTCTTTTAATTTTCTACATTCATTACTATAATTATTGCATTACTACATAGTTTGTATGACATTTATGTTAGATATTGCTTATAGAGATTCAATGTGTAAGCTTAGGCCTATAGTGCATCAAATATATTGAATCATCATAAATCCAACTATGTCTTAAATTAATTTCTACATAAAGTGTTTTTAAATCACTCTATTTAAAGATTATTTTGTTGTCTTGTAATTAACTTGTTATAGATAAAACCATGTCTTTAGTGATGTTTTGTATTGATTTTGTTGGATTAATTCATTGAGATACTTCCAAACTCTCTTAGTGGTGTGTTTTTCTTCCCCATATTTTAAAATCTTTAATTTCATTTTATTGGACCTAAATTTTTTTTTGAAATTGTCTACTCGGGGAAAGGTCTATTCAACCTCCCTTCTAGACCTGTTTGAGTACATGTTCTCACCCAACAATTGGTATCTGAGTGGGGATTTTGAGAAAAGTCTTGCGACTCAAAGAGTGGAGGATATGATTCCTTTTCGATCCTAGACGAGTTTTTATATTTGTTTGGAAGCTTATGCAACTCAATGAATTCCAATAAAATTACATTGATTTCCTAATGTATGATCATTCATTGCATGCATTACATAGATTAACTTAAAGTAAAACTTTACTAGTATATTCTTAAATCATTAATTATATTTGAGATATTCTCTAGGTATGAACTGACAAAAGTATGAGATATATGCAATGTGACACTATGTGTTGAACTTTGTCTTTGATTAATCCTACTTTAAAATGGAAATGCATTCATAAGTTAACATGCTGGAAGTTTTGAGAGATTAAAAAAACAAGAAAAAAGCATCTTCTAGTGACATACTCTTTAACGGTTATCGTAAAAAGAAGGTGAAGGAAGTTTGTGACACTTTGCAATGTTCTCTGAGTTCTCAACAATCACAAAAGAATCAAGGGTAAAAAGGTGTTCCTCTGAGTGCTAATAATCTTCAAAGAGTTGAATCAGTTATCTGAGGTTATCAAGATATGTCAATCAATGATAATGAGAACATCTGTCAAACAAATTCATATGAAGCCTTATGAAGGAGATTCTGATAGTTATCTTCATGCATGCAAGAGGAGTTATATCCAATTCGTTTATGATTAATCTTATTCCACCTTATCTTATTATTATTGTTGATTATAATTATTTTCGTGTGCGTCAAGTTAAGTATAGATCATTTAAATTTGTATAATCGTTCCAACCCTCCTTTATTTTTTGGTTGTACACATGTTCATAATTATTTCTTTGTCTATAGGTATTATTTGTTTGAAGTGTGTGTATCTGCTATGCTTGTGCATTTTGTATTATGACCATTCAGTTATCTCATGCATGAATCTAATCTTATTTTTTATGTTCATTGTATTTTCATTCATATTTTTTATTTATTCATACATCTTCGTTCATTTTTAACACTAAAATGTATTTCAGCATTTACATCAAAGTTATTTTCCACTTAAAAATTTTCATTTCATTAAAGTCACTTTTTTCATGCATTAAAATTTTTTCAAAAATGTGCTTCATGATTCGAGTCATAAGATTTAGAGAACTTTGAGTTTGACGGTGTGAAAAATGATCAGAGTCATAAACACAACTTGATTTGAATCACATCTCATTTATTTGAAATGTATAAAAGCATGACTTGAATCACACTTATAACATAATTAGAATCATGAAAGCAAAAGGGACACGCTTTGTAACCGTTAAACATCTTTATTTTTTCCCCTCATTTCATTTCAAATGTTCATAACTTCATCTCATAACCCATTTTGAAAATCCTATCACTATCCATCATCATCCCATTTACTCTTCATCATTTCATTCATCATCATCATCATCATCATCATCATCATCATCATCATCATCATCATCATTATATATCATAAAACAGATTTCTCCATCCTTCATCATAATGAGTTCAAGCCTTCCACAAAAGAACTTATCTGACAAACAAATGGGCAAGAGGCAAGTCGCTCCATCAAGTCCAACAATTCCTCCTATTCCAAAAATAGCAAGAACCAATGTTAGGGCAAGCAAAGATTCCTTTGATGTAATGGTTCATAAAAAGTCTAAATCGAGCAATGTTCAACAAAGCTCAAGTGGATATTCTTCTTTGATCAGTAAGAAAATTCTTGATTTGGTTTCGGATGATTAACTCCAATGGTGTGTTAATCAGTTCCTGAACAAACCTATTGAGTCGGAATACCATGTGAACAAGCATATTGAGACTAAATTAGGTGTTATCACTACTACAAATAACACTTATAACGTCGCACGTGAGAAATATTTCACCTCATATACCTAGGTGATGTAACGAAATGTGACATGAAAAGATGTCACTTAAGGCCTCGAATAATTAAAAACTGAGGGGTAAAGTTATATGATCATGGGTTCGAACCCCAATATCTTCATTTTTATTATTTACTAAAATAGTGCGTTATACCTCTCGATTTATCCAAAAACTGAGGGGTAAGATAAATTATTATTTTTTAAATAAAACTTGTTACATCGTATAAACATAATATTAATAAAATGATTTATTTACAAACTACAATATTTATCTAGAATATTACATTGTACAGTAGAAACTCTTTAAATTAATAATGTCAGGACCGAAGAAATTTATTAATTTAGAGAGTTATTAATTTATTGATAAATTAATAATTATTAATTTAAAGAGTTTTTAAGTAATTATACTGTACATACCAAACAAAAAGGCAAATTAGTTTATGCCTCTTAGAATTACGTTGCAGCGAACCTTGGGACTCAACGTAAATTAGTTACTGTGTTCATATGCATTGGAAATCAATAATGACTTTTGAAGTACAGTAAATGTAAACAAGATGAACAAATGTGTTCAATGTATTCTTAAGCAAGTTTGCCATATATAAATTACATGAATGTGTTAGAGTATTCAAACCATATCTCACAAAATGGCTTCTCATCTAAAAGGTGTTGCAAAATCAACTATGTCAGATCAAATACGTAAGGAGTTGTGTGAGTACAAGAGAGATAATCATGCAAGCACACAAAAAGAGTTGCAGAGATGGCTTAAGGGAAACTTTTAGTTGAAAGTTAGTCAAGGAACAATATCAAACACACTTAAACGGTCAGATGACTATCTCTCTGGTGAAATAGAAAAGGGAAGAGCAGAGATCAAAAGACACAAACCAGCAAAATATCCTGACATGGAGAAGGTTATTTATGAGTGGTTTCTCCAGCATCAAGAACGTGTCAATATCACAGGAGAATTAATTTTGCAGAAGGCAAGAGATACAATGAAACTCGTGTGCCCTCATGATGATTCAAATTTTAACTTCTCTATAGGATGGCTTGGGAAATTCAAGAACTGACATGGCATAAAGTCATTTCGTCGTTTTGGCGAGAGTGGGTCTGTTGATGTATAAGACATGGAGCAGAAATTGGTATCGATTTGGGAGAAAATTGATCAGTTCCCTATGAAAGATGTTTTCAATATGGATGAAATTGGGTTGTTTTATAGGCTACAGGCTGATCATTTACTGGCAGCAAAACAACTTGAAGGAAGAAAACAAGATAAAGAAAGGCTGACGGTAGTTATTTGTTGCAATGAAGATGGCTTAGAAAAAATCCCTCTATGGATTATTGGGAAATATGCAAAGCGTCGTTGCTTCAAGAATTTCAACATGAATAGCTTGGATTTTCAGTATCGAGCTAACAAAAAAGCATGGATGACTAGTGTTCTTTTTGATGAATATGTTCGTTCATTTGACCAAATGATGCATGGTAGAAGAGTTCTACTTGTGGTGGATAATTGTCCAGCACATCCAAGAAATATTGAAGGGCTAAGAAACTGAGTTGTTCTTCTTGCCACCCAACATGACATCAAAGATTCAACCTTGTGATGCTGGGATAATAAGAGCTTTCAAGATGCATTACCGTAGAAGGTTTTACCGCAAAATATTGGAAGGTTATGAGGTGGAACAATCTAATCCAAGGAAGATAAATGTCCTTGATGCTATCAATTTGGCAATCCCAGCTTGGACAATAGATGTTCGAAAAGAAACAATAACAAATTGCTTCCGACACTGTAAAATTTGTTCAGCTAGTGACGTTGCAAGAAATTTGGATGAATCCACTTTTGATGAAGAAACTCAAGACCTCGAGACTATGATCAATCAATGTGGCTACCGTAATAAGATGGATATCGGCAATCTAATGAACTACCCAGGTGAAAATGAAGCATGTTCGGAGGTTTAGAGTTTAGAAGATATTGTGGGTACTATTATTGAGAACAATGCAGAGGATGACGACGATGATGATACGGTGTCTTTGGAGCCTGTTACGCGAAAGGAAGCACTTATGGCGTCGAACACTTTTCACAATTTTATGATACAATACAAAAATACAACATCTGAGCTATTGGATGTAATAAGAAAAGTTAGATATGAGCTCCAAATAGACTTGAACTTTAAATGAAAATAGACAACTATTGAATCATACTTCAATAGAGTGTAATATATTTTTTTCAGTTTCTATGAATTATTAATTTATGATTTTCTTGGGATCGAAAATTATAAAGGGATCTCCTAAAAAATTATTATCTTATTATTTTATCGAGTTTTTCAATTTTTTACATTGGTCCAAATCGGGACCAGACAAATTTATTATTTTAGAGAGTTTATTAATTTGCCGAGTATTAATTTAAAGAGTTTCTACTATACATGAGATCATATGTTAGATCTTTGAATCTTTGATATTTGGGAAAGATCAAATGTTGGGTGCGACTATATTCTCAATGGCTTTATATCGCATGGATTTGTTTATGATATAAAACAAAAAAGGGTTGATACTTAAATGATTTTTGCTTAGATAAGTAGCTAAGAACACAAACCTTAAATCTAAATAATTTGTTGCTCTTGCATCCATCTTAGCGATCTTTTCATGGCAAATGATATTGCAAACCCAAAGAGGTGGATGTATATATGTTTCAAGCACTTCATGATGCTTCACATGCTTCTTCATATTCAGAAATATGCTTTTATAATGGAATTTTTTATGTTTCATGCGGATCACTAATGGCAGTGTCTTGAGCGTTGATATCTCATGAAATGAACAACATATATTTGATCAACAGAATCACCAATGGTTTTTTATGTTTAATTTAGGTAAAATACTTTAACTCTCCTTTTAATAGAAAACCGAGGTAAAATACCTTTGATTTTTTTTTATATTTCATTGATTACAAAGAATATTTATAAATAAAAAATATAATAAAAAAGAAAGGTTCTTGGTTTTTCCCCTCGGTTATATTAAAAAACCGAGGTAGTATGTTGTTTTTTATATTTTAAAAAGATAGTAATAATCATCGGCCCTTGGAGTTATATCACTAGAATAGTAATGATCATCCTTATTCAAAATATAATGTATCTTTTGGATTTTCAAGGAGGCGTTTGAGCTTCTCTAATTGTTTCACTTTCTCTTTTCCAATTTATTCATACATTATTCAAGTCTCATTTCATTTTCATCTCTTTGTCTACAAAAACCTTCAAATCTAGTTTAAAAGTATTTTCTATTTATTCAAAAAATATCTACAAAAACCTTCAACGGAGATGAAAATTGTTTGTTCGTTATCAATGAAAAGTTTTTTGATTTCGAAGAGTTGAAAGACCAAGATTTTAATCTATTGAAAAATATTTCCAAACATAAGTTGAAAGGTTAGTTGACATGCTTCATGGATCCATCTACACTAATCTTGTAACGAAATTATGGTTAAATGCCATTTTAGGCAATATGGTGTGGATCCTAAGTCAATACAGTCCAATGTATATGGCTTTCCTATCACCATTACTCCATCACTTATTGGTCAGACAATAAAGTTTGAAGAGAAAGGTAGTTGTGTTAAACAATATAGATTCAACAATGTCTTCTCAAATCACCTTCTTCTACTTTATGTCAACTACAATAAACTCACCAGTCTTGCTAGTCTCATCCCAATTGCAAAATTTTGGCATCAACTTCTAGTGACAAATCTTTGTCCAAGTGAGAAACAATTAGAAACGCTTACTTCAGATGACAAGCATATTTTATACTTCCTTATCCATAACGTCAAAATTAATCTTCTTCTTACTGAACTTTTCTCTCATTTTAGAATAGTTAAAATGGTAAAAAAACATGATTAAAAGTTGAAGTTGAGTTGAGTCGGAAGTTTGAATATGTCGAATAGTTATGTGTTGTCCTATTTTTTGTCATTTGTTGTCCTGCTTCTCTGATTATCAATGAAAATTTCCCTTTCCTTTTCAATTGTATTAGTGTGTAATCTTTTTATTGATAATAAAGAATTTGTGTTTTACTAATTAATTTGAGAAAAATTTACAAAGAAAAAAATATAACAAATAAAATATGGAATATGGAAAGACACCAAAGTGAGAAATACTAATTAAACCATTGAAAAAAACATAAAAATGTAGTAACATGCATTCAAAACATCCCTAATATTTTTATTACCTTGGGTTTTTCAAAAGACCGCGGTAATAGGTTATACTAAAAATATAATATCGCTCCTTATAGATATATTCCCTCGGTTTTATGGATAACTGAGGTAAAAGGTTGTTAGCATGACTCTACCAGGAACTATTCTCGGTTTTTAGCGTTTCTAGGTGAAAGCTTTGTCATAAAAAGTGTTATTTATAGTAGTGTAGATATTTGTCTTCGATAGAAGAACATAGTTTGTTGAAATTTCTCAGTTTGAACAAGAAATTTGACCATGAACTCATCAAAGCTTTTTATTGTAATTTTACTGTGACTTCTAATGGATTGGAATATCAATTTTGCAACAAATTGATTAAATTCAATTTAGATTATTTTATAATCATTTTTCGTTTGTGGCAAAAGGATGTAAAGTTTGTATTCTAAGGCTCTTGAATTTGTCAAGTTTGTTTGGTTAAGCGTATTTCCAAGTCTATTTTTAGTGATACCTTGGATATGGAAAACTTTCACATCATTCAAGTGAAGTTTTAGATAAGGATTCTTCACTGGATAGTTGTAAAAAATTTGTACAAGTTGAAGGTGAGAAAATACTTAGAAGGGGGGGGGGGGGGGGGGTTGAATAAGTATGAAGATAAAAACTTAGAAGTAAAAACTCAAGTATTTTTATCCTGGTTCGTTGAACTCAACTACTCTAGTCCACCCTTTCTAGAGTGATTTGCCTTTCTCAAACAAGGACTTAATCCACTATTTAATCAACTGATTACAATAGTAAGCACTAAGAACAACTGTTCAAAGTCTTCTCAAGAACTACTGATCCTAACTGGATCTTCTTAAGGTTCTCTTACAACCAAATGTAATAATAAATACAAGTGTTAAAATGCTTCTAATAAAGCTTTATCACAACTGTGATTTTTCACTTAAGATTAAGAACAAAAGAATAAACTCAGCAAAGAGAATAAGAATATTTTATGAGAGCTTGTGAGAGTTTCTGTCAAAGAATCGTCACTTGAAGAAGATGAGGAAGACTTGCTTTTATATGCACAGTAGTCCACAAAGTCTTGACGTTGGAGGCTGTGTATTGAATAGGCATGAACCTTTTTGTCTTCACATCACATGACCTTTCCTGGAAGTAGAATGCATAGAGAAATGCTTTTGGTCTGTGTTCTAGTGTCATGCATGAAAGAGGAAAGAGTCGTTGAGCCAAATCAAAGGATATGACTTTGAATTTCTTCTTCATCAAGTATTTCATTTCAGCAAAGTAACATCAGTGTCTGGTTGATCAGAGTCTTGGATGCCCATCAGATTTTGCTGAATTAGAGTAATGCAGCAAGTGTGCTTTAGCGTGTAGTTCTATCAGAGCAGAGTTTTATGAATCAGATCCTCAGTACATGCAGCATGTAGTACTCTCAGAGCCTTCTGAAAAACTGTGCTTCTTAACTCTCATACAAAGATCTTCAATGCTTCAGAGTCTTCATATCTATTAGAGTCTTCTGCTTCAGATCCTTCTGCAGCTTCTGCTTCAGATTCTTCTGTAGCTTCTGCTTCAGATCCTTTTGCAAACAGCGCTCAGATTCTTCTATAAGATGATTCTGACTCTTCAGAGCCTTCCATAGTTCCATGTTCAGATTAATTTGCTCTTAGATATATATATATATATATATATATACTTTAATCATCTGCAGCAAATATTCATGAACAAATTTTAGAGTATATAATTCTTTAATACAAAATTTCATAAGAGTTATCATCAAAACATAGAGATATTACTAAGAAACAATTTGTGTTCTTACACAAGTAACCTCATAACTAGGCAAGAGTAGATGACTAAGACCTCTATCTGATGTAGGTTCTTCTTCTTTGTGATATCCATTTTGATTGGGTTAGGTTCATTCTACAAAGGATTGAGCATTGTAGGTCCTATATGAAGAAATCTTTATTTTTTCCATTTTTATTCAATTCATACTAGAATTGAATGGTATTAAATCCACTAAGAAGAAATTGGTCAAGGCACTAAAGCATGTTGACTCAACTGCTATCAGCTTGATGCATTACTACCAGGATGACAACAAGGAATATTGATACTTAGATATTGATGGTATTTGGGTCTATGAGGACAGAATTGTCGAGCCGATTCAGAGTTTGGCTGAGGTTGTTCACAAGTGGTATTAGGAGGTGTTGGATCAGATGGTGGTTGTTCAGATGGTTGAGATGCAGATGGTTGTGGTATTGTGAGTTGAGGTGTAGGGGCTGGTGAAATTTCAGCTTCAGATGATGAAGGTCGAAAATCTGAAAGGTTGAATTTTGAGCGAAGTGAAATTCTACGATTGATTTGGTCAGATGCTGATAGGTCAGAAAATGCAGGTTTGAG